TATATATATATATATAATATCATTACTGTATACATACATATACATTTATATATATAATTTTTTTATTTATAAAAATAACATTCTGGGACTAAAACGTAACGTTCCAAAGCAATGTACAATGAGGAGCTGGCTGGGACGACCGATAAAGGTACTTTAAACCGCGGGCTCTACGTTCCCTCGAGGGGGTATTCCAAGATCTAATTACCGAAACTCGCTCGAAATTGACACGCACGTTCTTTTCGTCTCCGAAACTCGAGGATTCTTTTTTTCTTCCTTTTCTTTTTTTTTTCATTTTTATCTGCATCTTCCGACACAGATAATGTCGCAAATTTTACGCGAAAGCAGTCTGACGACTTTAGAAGTAATTCTACGATGCGACCACTAATGTAACGCGATAATGATTAATCGAAGTAAGCGTTGATCGATTATTAAGTAACTTTAGTTTTCTTCTAAACGTTCCGTGGCGAGGTCGACTATCGATCAGCAATCCTGCGATATGTCACTGAACGCTGCTCTCCGGTTTGATGAAAGTCAAGAAAGTTTGGAAGGGAACACGGGCTTCAGATTCCTTTATCGAGTCGTCGCCGATTCCCTTCGGGGATTCAAATCGAATTCTCGTCGATTCAACACCCGTTAACGAACGATTTTTACGCCCTCGAGGCTTTAAAACCTGTTCCGTTCTCGATCTCGATATGTCTATTATTTTTCAAATAATCCATGGGTGATTTTCGTTAACGAGCAAAGCCAGCGTCGACGAGGCGATCGAAGAAAAAGCTTTCCTCGATTTCTCAACGCGTCTGAGGACAGGCTTCGAGGATAGTTGGACAATGAACGGGAAGATCGTGAACGAAGAACGCAAGGAAATAATTTGTTCCGATATTATAATCAAGAGCATACGGGTACGATAACTTCCCGTTACGAGTCGTTTACAATTCGCACGTGTTCCTCGAAACCTCGAACTCAATGAGCGTTCTCCTAATAAATCTTAATAACCTAAGAGGACTCGTCACGTTTTATCGTTCTCCGCACGACATCGTATCCTCCGAACTCTATCAGTGAGCCAATCCGAAAAAGCGCCGAGCGCAGCTTCGACGGTACAACGACGATCGATTAACTTCAACAAGAGGTCCATTTTGTTCGAATAATTCACGCTATCGTACACACAGATCCTCGACGTTTCGTCACACACTCGCACGGTTCTAGAGCTAGAGAGACGATAGACACGTCCGTTTCGCGTGGACATTCGCAATTGATTGCACGCAACTCTCGAGGAAACAGATACTGGAAACAGAAAAAAGATGCGGGGGGCCATTCTCGCCGATCGACCCGCTTATGGCTAAGAAACGCGACGCGGTCATCAATCTCCTGGTCGACCAATCGCGTTTACGTTTGAGCTAGAGACGCGTTGTCCTCGTTCACAACTCGTGCCTTCATCCGGCTGAACGTAGCTGAGTTGTTCCGGAATCGTGGCTTTCTTCAGGAACGAACCACCACGTCTCGTCGACGATCTCTCTGACTTCGTCGATCGTCGATCAAAAACGCCGTTCCATAACATTTCACGAACGACCATGCGTTCCTTCGATCGTTCCTTCGTCGATGGCCACGAGACGCGGCGTCTCGACACCGAGAAACGCATCCATCGTCCTCGTGCAGGAAGACGAAGAGGACGACAACATCCCGCAACATCGGGCTGCAACATTCTAACACTCGCTGTAAGAAGGCGGTGGCATTCCGCGGCCTGTGTACATGTCCGTCTGCGGCTGCAGATGACAGACGACCGTGTGCCCGTCTAGAACCGCGACTGTTCTCGACTGATCCGGCTGAGGCGGTATACCGAAACTGGCCGGAAGTCGTGGCAATTCGCCACGCTCGTACCATGCTTGCTGCTTTCGTAATTTCTCCCAGCAAGTGTTGAGGGTCCTCTCGAACGCTGGACTGTATTCTG